ATACGGATACTAAAAGTTCTTTGACTGCCACTGATTTCTTGCAGGGAAGGGTCTGGCTTGTTATTGTGCAGATCCTGATAGTGATTTTTCTCTGCATCAACCTTTTACTCATTATGACCTTTTTTAAAAAGGAATGCTTCTATACAACTCCACGCTACATCTTATTTGCTGTTACATTACTGTCAGATAACTTGTTACTATTCATGTCTGATATCCTTCTCATCTTCACCAATTTTAATATCACTATGCATGTGTGTTTATGTATCATTATTGTTGTTCTTTTATTCCTGTATGTTGTAGTCACACCAGTTACTCTGACAGCAATGACCCTGGAGCGCTACGTGGCCATCTGCATGCCCCTGCAACATGCAGAGCTGTGCAACACATGTCGAACTATACATTACATCCTCATCATTCACATCCTCAGCTTTGTGCCCTGTGTTGTTATTCTCTCCTCCTTTTTTGCTTCAGCACCCCTTAGCTTCTACAGTCAGTACAGGGTATGTTTCGGGGAGACTGTCATTTTTCACAGCTGGCAGAATCATCTTAGGTCAGCTGTGTTTCAGTTTTACTTCTTGATCATGTGCATCATCATTGCTTTCTCCTATGTTAAAATAATGAAAGTGGCCAGAGCTGCATCAGGAGAGAATAAAAACTCAACATGGAAAGGACTCAGGACAGTGGCTCTTCATGCAGTCCAGCTGCTGCTCTGTCTCATCCAGCTGTGGTGCCCTTTCATAGAAGCTGCTGTGCTCCAGATTGATTTCATGTCATACAATAATGTGAGGTTCTTTAACTATGTAGCATTTTATCTTGCTCCAAGGTGCCTGAGTCCTCTCATTTATGGCCTCAGAGATGAAAAGTTTTTTCTGGCCCTGAAACATCAAAATCCTAGGGTAATACATATTTTACTTGTTAGGTGTAAAAATATCTAGAAGACAAAATTATGTGCAGTTTTAAATTTATAGGTAAAAATACAGTTTATCATTTATAATGAACAGAATTTTAACCCTTCTCATGAGGGCACATGGGCAGCAAGCACTAGGTAAATACTGTGGAACATTAAGTCTGCCATCCTCTGAACACGTCTAAACCAGCTTACCAATTTTAGCTATGAATATTATATTATTACAACCAACAGCTGCCACAATATTCAGCAGTAATATATGGTGGCCTTTGAGTCCTCTGGCCTTTTTAATGCTTTGCAAAACAATGCTTCCTTTGTCTTATATCAAATGAACATGATTTGACTAATAAGATGAATAGTTTTGAATAGGGTAATACATATTTTACTTGTTCGAAGTAAAAATATATAGAAGACAAAATCATGTGCAGTTTTAATTCTATAGGTAAAAATACAGCTTATATCAAATAAACATGATTTGACTAAAAAGATGAATCATTTTGTTGCTCTCTGTGTGCAGATTTGTCCTTTAGCAAGCAGGGGTGTCGAGCTGGGCTGGTGCACACAGACTGTGAGCTAGCAGGGCTGTGATACTGTGAGATATAAACTGGGTAATTTTACTGGCAGTCTTCTAGTGGCACATACAGTCAGTCAGTCACTGTTGTTGCTCTCCTCTGTGTTTATTTTAACCAGTCTGTGAGGCGCTGACACTGAACAATGACAATAACTACTAGCACAGAGGAGTGAGACACAGAGAAAAACATGAATTCCAATCTGACCTTTCTAACAGTGATCACATAGTTAAATATCACACATGACTCATAACCAGGACCACATATGGAAGTGGCCCAGATCTGATTTGAAAAACATCTGATTTGGTTTGTTCATGCTTACATGAAAAGATCAGATCTGAGTGACTTCAGCAGGTAATGTGAACATAGCTTTAGTCTGCATAAAGTTCCAGTCTAACTTACTAAAGCTTAGTTTCCTTAAAATCTAGAACCTGGGACACTGTATAACAAAAACATTTGGTCAACATATTTTAAGTCATCTATACATAGATTCTTTTATTTGCTATTATGTGAACAGTGAAAAAACAATGCAACAAAAAGTTTTATAAAAGAGAAAATCTCTTTGTTACAACAAAACATGCAATACACACTGTGATGTGACGTTGGATCAGCAGCTGACATTTAGTAATCAAATAAATAGTCTTAAATAATGATTTATTAAAAGAATTATAAATTGTTGCCAATTCATTTCATCGTCTTTTGACTTTGTATAAATTCAAGCATGTAAAGATCCAACAGGCTTAAAAAGGGAGAGAGGACTATGGAAATAAGGAAGGTCAAAGTTTTCATAAACAAATCCTTATCACTATGAAATCAGTGGCATTTTAATGTGCAGTTTTCCCATTTTTTCCAGTATCTCTCTTTTTGTCTTAGTCTTCTCGTAGATAGGCCTCATGCACCTCATGCTCCTCACTGTCCTCTAGAAAGGCAGCATATTCCGCCATTCTTTGGATCTCTTCGACTTTAGTCTCAGCTAATTTCTTATCTGCATCTGCTGACATTTTCTGTGCCTCCTCGACCTGTGACTGGGCCACCTGAATGCTTGTTCTCAGAGTTATGGATGCCTGTTCACTTCCTGGAAACACACAGATGAAAACACACATTCTGTCAAATTGCCCAGAAAGTTCAAAGGTTAATGTACTGTAACACCAGCTTTTGTAAAAACAAACAAACAAAAAAAACAAAAAACAAAAAATGAGGCGTGGATCCCTGACTCCATTTTCTTTAAAAAAAAAATCTGCTGAGTCACAGCATTTGATCAATACACTTTGTAAAGTTCAACATAAACAAAAGAGATGCTTTTAATTTTCTGATTAATCCATCATCATGAATACAACCAAATATTCATTCTTACTTCAAGCCTTAACAAAATCCAGGTCCCAGTCACTCAGGCACACATTATACTCACCTGAAGTGTAAGCTGCCTCAGCTGCCATGTTACACAGACTGACAGCATTGATCCAGGCTGACTCAAAACGTTTGCATTCATCTAGTCTGTCGCTCATCTGTCAGGACAAAGAGACGAGACAAATTCAATATAAAACTGAATGCTGTAAATATGTTTACGTTGGTTTGCAGCGTTCCTCCAAAGAGGACAACAGAAACTAACCTTTGCACGCTGGATATTGATCAGCTGCTGGAGCGAACCCTCTTCTGCTGGGGTCAGTTTTCCCAGTGAGACCAAATACCTTCTTTGGAGAGCAATACGTGTGTGTACAGCCTGTAAAGCACCAAGGGACAGGCAATCAGGAACAGTACAGGGCACTTTTGCTAATAACATCCTTATAGTATTTTTTGTCTACATGATCAAACATCTGCTGGATTTGTACATGTGTAAACCTCCAATTAAATGCAAAAACATTAAGGCACTCTGGACCCAGTGTCATTTCTATTCTCACTATAAAATTATGTAAGGACAAAAAGATCCAACTCATGATGATTACATCAGATCTACTGTAGAAACATATAGACTTCAGTGATGATTTAAACTCCCAGATTTGGGTTGGCAGCTCTAAGATGTGGATATAATGTTTCACGCAAGATGAAAACCTACCTTTGAATAATCTGTAAGGGCATCTATGAGAGCCAAGGTGGTCTGAGAAAGGAAAGTACTTGAACTGTCTGTAACCACTGAGGCTGCTCTTCTGATCAGGGAGTCATGAGAAAGGGTTTCCTCTTGCTACAAATAAGGAAAAATGGTATTTAAACTCCTTCCTTCAATTTCTGCATGTACAAAGTAAAAAGAACAAGAACAATTGTTTTTTTTCAGTGACGTAAGATTTGTGCAGTTTGGCCTGGTGCTTGTATTATCTTGACTGGAGAGTTACCCACCTGCGTAACAGGGACAGCACAACTCTCCCGGCCAACACTTAAAGACACTATGCTCATGTGCACAGGGTCTATCCATTCCTCCATTTTCTGGACTCCAGGCTTCCTACAGCTGAACAGGACACTCTCAGAACTGCTGTGGAGAAATTGGGACAAGATAAAAAAAGACAGGTTGTTACAGTCAGGACCAGTGGTTGTTCAGTCTTGTAGTACTGTGTGTTGTATCTTATAATTTGAAGCCAAAGCTGCAGGTGCTATTTGTGAAGTCATACCTGAAGTTAATATAAATAATGCATTGAATTGTCTTTAGTTTGTTTTAACATTACTATCTAAGCTGCTGAAACTTTATACACATGGTGCAATTTCACAATGATTTAATGACATTTAATTGTTTACTTGACAGGGACAGTTGACAGCCACTGACTGCCCCAGAATAAGCTACAGAGCAAATTTCACCTGTAGACATCATTACTTAACATTTTTGCATAATATCTTGTCTACACTACTTAAATAGCAGTTCAGGCTGCAGTCTGATGATTGCCAAAGTTTCAACAGGGAGCACTTGGCGACTGCCACATTGCTTAGTATTCATAATCTACCTTAGGAGGCGTGCTCCTCTCCAGGGCACGCTCTTGGTCCGCAGCGCTGACATGTCTGCCTGATGTCGCAGAAATCCTCCAGCAGAGCCGCGGGCACATAGCGAGCACTGACGAACAGCTTGCATTTTGCAGATTAACTACAGCAGATCTGCTGTGCTTGGAGAATGTATCTGATATTACTTGTTTGCTGCTAAAAAGCTTCCAGTCTGCGCGACTGCTACTAACTGCCGCGTCCCGTGGGTATTTGTAAGGCCCCCACATCGGTTTCATTGCGTAAAAAGAATCGACCTGTTGACTCTGCCTGCACATATGCGTATTCAGTGTTATCTGCCCATAGATAGCGATATTACGTGCAGGTTGATCTGTTGCTCATTTGACAAACACTTTCCCTCGTTCTCTCTTTTGCACTATTGTGTGTGCGTGCGTGAGCATATGTAGGTCAAGACAGTAAAAGTTTTATAGTAATTAAGACAGTTGTTTTTTTACTATACCTTATCATAAAATGATTTTGAATGTTTATGATTTTAAAATTGTACTTTAATTCATGAAATTAGTGGTTCTGGAATATTTTACAAAATGCATACAATGCATACATAGTTATTTTAAAAAGATAATACAAAATGATATTGGCATAATGTCTTTGTCAATATGGGGACAATGTGACCTCTGACATTGACAAGTCAAATGACTGGACACAGAGGACACGTGTCGCTGCCACTTATTATTAGCTCCACTTGTGTTTTTCATACTGTGCAGTCTGGTGTCTGAAACCTTCCCTAGTTACTATACTCTCTGCCATTTTATTTGAGTGCATAAATTATGTATAATATTTATGCACTGCACAGTGCCCTCAGAAGATCCACAATGGAGCAAAAAAAAAAAAAAAAGAAGTTGTGTACATGGTTTGTACTCTATAACAATACCATAATGTAATGCATTGTATAAATTAAAAATGGTTTTGTGACAGCTGATGACACAAAATGGCAAAGTGCCTGAAATCTCAGTTTACTTACTGTTGAGTGGATTACTGAGTGTGTATCAAATAGACAGTATGGGGGAGTGGTTTCAGACAAACTTTGAGGACCTTCTGTGTCTCCAGATAGAGCTGTCTGAAGTCTGAAGCCCCTCAAGTGATGTCACTTGAGTCATTGTTGGTTGGGGTTGACCACTACAAATTGGAAAATGATAGGGAGTTAGCCTGTTACTGCTCTTAACTTGAAGCTACATGCTAATACCAGAAAATACCAAAACCTCTGAGTTGCATTTTGGGTGTTTTACTGTTGATGCCAGGTTTTATCAAGAAAGAAGAATGAAAAAAAAAAAGGCGCTATATCTGGTTTTGATCAGACCTGGGACGAACATGCAAACTCCTTTGTGTGTCAGGCACCTTCTTGCTATGAGGCCTATTTACATGTTTTGTACCCACTTTATCATTTTAATCATGACTTCTTCCTACTCCATTCAAACATGTAATAGGTGTAAGCAAACTGATTTTGAATTAGCATTGGTTGGATATGTGTAATCATGTGTGTTATTGTCATTTGTTCATTGTTCTGTTCTGCATGTTTGAAAGAATAAAAAGAATAAATCAATCAATCAATCAATCATCATGACTTTACAGTGGAGGGTTTTTTTGACCAGACATTTTTGCACCTTCAGACAGCCTGAGAATTTTAATAGACACAACATTTAAATTGTGCCAAGTTTCTTTGTGTTAAATCTGTTTCACACCATTACTGTACCTATATTATCAATTCTTGTTCTTTATTTCACAGAACATAACCTAAGTGCATTTGCCACTTCTCTATGCCATCTCACATTTCACTATATTTTTTGCCAAAGGTTTAGTAGTAACCTTTATTTTGTTCTATAGCCTGCAAATAAGTTATTTGCTGATGTGGCATTCTCAGGGGCTCGGAAACAGAAAGTTTGTTTTGGCCACAGATTTGGGTTCCCTGCAGACTGATTACTGACGGATGACGCAGAGCTTGTGCAAGCTGCCGAGCCCCCAGTGAGCTGCTCTCAGAAACAACCTGTTTGTCAAACAAATGAAGCCGTTAGGTTGCACAATTAGACTCTGGAGCTTTAAGTTAATTATAAGCCAGTCTGTTAATTACTAAGCAGGGGAAATGGGACAAGTTCTCTAACTGTGCTCTGGAGATACACACACAATACACAACTCCAGTGCTACACACGTTACCCTACCAATCAAAAGTTTGGCCACATTTTCTCCTTCAATTCACTGGGAACATGTGGCCAAACCTTTGAGTACAGACACATCTCTTTATGGGCTTCATCATCTTCAAAAACAATGCAAATGTTGCTGTTGTTGTTGTACCAACTTCGGTAGTGTTGTGTAAAAGTATGACACTGGACCATTGTCAACAAACAGTCCATCAAAAATGTCACCAGGTGTCAGATTTGTGTTATTGATGGTTTCCACTTGTCTTTTAACAAACCACTCAGCAGCCCTACAACCCATTGCTGCAGTGTTGCATTGATGACCTAGAAATGTATCTGTACATTTCTTTTTAAATAAATGCAGGTTAATCGACTTTTGTCTATTAGATGGTTTTTATTTTTACAAACTTACGTATATTTTATATTTTGTACATTGAGTTGATCCTCTAATTCAGGGGTTTTCAGCGAGTGGTCAGCGACCCCCTGGTGGTCTTAAGTTCAATATCCTTTAACCATGATTTAAACCATGATCCAAAGATCAAATGGTAACTTTATTTATCCCTAGAGGAGCGATCTGTTGTGCAGCCAGTAGCACACACACTACATGTATTGTCGCAAAGAACTATTTAGGAAGCCTGTGGCAGTTGGGATAAAAGAATTTTCGAATGTGTTCATTCTGCATCTTGATAGGCTATATCTACATCCAGAGGGGAGCAACATAAATTTAGTGCACATAGAATCGCTGCTGTTGGCCACAGCTGACATGGCTTTGTACAGATACAAGCTTTATAGAGCTGGTAAAGGTCATTCAGGGTCAAGCCTATAATGTTATTACAAGCCTTGACAATACCCTGTAACTGATTCTGATTTTTAAGGGACTACACCAGCTTAAGAACAAAAAGGTAAGAACAGATTCAATAAAAAATTTTCATAAAAGTATTGTCTACATCAAACCTACAAGGTTTCTGAAGAAAATCCTGTTACGTACCTGACTATCCCTCATGTTGTTCACATCTCTCATCAACAATGCTGAGGCCATACACAATCAGTTGGCTGTTTATTAGGTACACCTAGCTAAAACTAATGCAGCCTAATGCAAGAGTCCTACAGCAAATGCCCCCTTAAAGAATATGATTATGCTCTTCGTTCAAACTGTGTGTGTATGTCAACAGTCAACTGATGGTAGTTTGGGCAAGCTTACCTTATAAAGTAACTTTAGCAAATTAAATGCTAACTTTGTGCACAGACATCACTTAGATCACACAAGTATATCAAAGTCTGCAGCAAATTCAACCATTGCACAAAGTTGTCTTGTTCCTCACTATGTTAATTGGAACTAAGACCTTTCCCAGAATAAAAATATGGCTGACCAAACAACTGCATAAAACCATGTAGATCCTTTCACTGCAGCAGAAGAGAAGATATTAAGAGTCAACAATATAAACTAGGAATCTCCTTTCACTTAGGCTTAGAACTGTTTTGGTAATCCTCAGGCATGGAATGATCTCGATAGAGATTGATATGGCATCTACAGGTCACAGATGTTCATCCACAGCAACATGTGCGATTACATTCAATCTACACTACAGTCAGAAGCACTGAGGAACACTGGCAAAAGACTTTGTTCAACGGTTCATGCTGTGCACTTTTCAAAACAAAGCTGGATAAACTGACCCAGTTAATTCAAAGTGTCCACTCAGCAGAATCACCACAGTGCCAGCAATCAATATGAGAGCTCCTCCTTCCAGCTGCTTCAGCCAAAACAAACAAACAAACAAAATCCTTAAAAGGACATTTTACCACCACTGATGTTCTCTTCCAGTTTACGTTGGAGCTGCCTATCTATTAAACTATAACCACATTACCGTCATTCATTTTCAGAGAAAATATTTTTGCTGGCCAAGGGTCTGTTGCACTGTGACTTTATGCACCAGGACTTCACGTGAGGTTTCCAACATTTAGGCGGCAACTGTGCTGCTTTCTCATACAGGATGGAGCTATGGATTATTTGGTTGAGGCAAGTAGATCACTTTTATACTTACTACTTCAGAACAATTGAGGCCCTCTACTAACTGATTTACATTAACAATAATTGTGGTGTGCTTACCCAGCTGCACTTAAAGACTTTTTAAAGATCTTTTTAATACCACAAAGAATATAATTGAACGCCTGTTTCATATGTCACTGTATAAAAGACATCACTGAGAGCCTTGCACTGATCACACATATTTTGCTGCACATAACAATTTCTAATAACAGTAATTAATCATTATTTCATGGATCTGATTAAAAATTGGTGAATGGATGAAAGAATAAACCAATTAAAAAATCAGCTGAAATAAGTGCCATATATGAATTTTACATAACATCAGAGGTCTGGAAGACTGGGACTGGAGATTTTCAAGCCAGTATTTTTAAAAACCACATACAACACTGTGCACAAACATTTTTGCAAAGTTGCTGCCTATGACAGATGATTGTTACTGCAGTGTGACCCTTTAATGGCCTTTAAAGGCCTTTTATCAACTCTCCTGTACAAGGACAAGTTAACTGTGGCTAAAGATCTTGTCACTTCCTCTTACAAAACCAAGAATTTCACTTAAACCATTAGGTTCCACAGTGCATACCCAGTATGCCTCTCTTTTCAGTCGCTGTTTAATGATGTCACCTGCCCTTGGATTATGTAAGACTCTTTCCAAACCTATAAACCTGAGAATGGAAGCTGACCCATGTTTTTTTAAGTCTATGTAGTTTCTGACAGTGGCATAGTCTACTTTTCTACCAGCTTCTTCTTGCTTGTCTTTACTGCTGAAAGTATTTATACAATGTGTGCAGTGATCACGTTTCTAGTTAGTGTGAATTTCACGAGAGAGCCGACACTTTTGTGTGTGTGTTTTTTTTTTAATAGGTTCTGCATATGGAATCCAAACCAACAAATTGCCAGTATTTTTGCTCTTTTCACAGCAAAATGAAACTAAAGAACAGGATAAAAGTTACAAGCCTGAACCATATTTCAAAAACCGCCCAGTGCTTTTTATATTTTAAATCTCTTTACAGAAGTTGTATCCTGGTACAAATGATATTCTATTTCCTGATTTTTTTTTTTCTGGGGAAGGTAACTTTTTTTCTTTGTAACTCTCTGGCATTACTGATCACTTCATCTCACAGAAGGTGAAGCATATATGTAGTCACACAGTAAAAATATACTCTATCATCCTGCATTCAAAGTTTTACTTAAGTGAGTGTATGTAAGTATTATAAAAAAATATATTATAGAAAGTAATATTAAGTCTACTCATTATGTAGTATGACCACTGTCAAATTTAGTCTCTTAAGTTGTTCTATTATACTGGTGTATTATTACTGGTCTGTCACTGTGTTAGCACCATTTTAATATAGGGGCAGGTCAAAGCAGAGCTCATTTTAACTGCTAAAGGTAACTAGAAGGCCGTGGCTAACATAGCCAAGTAGAAGTAAAGTTACAGAAAAATCTGTAACTGTGATAAGGAATGTGTACCTCAAAAGTGTGCTTTAAGAAGCAGAAAAACTGGAGGAGGGCCTTGTCAGTGGTAAGAGCAGTGAGCCAGCTAGAAGCCATGTTAACAAACTATGAACACTTAACAATAACAATATAAAAAAATAAAGATTTTAAAATTAGTTTGTCTGTGTTCATCACTTTGCTTTAAGAGGGTCTTCAGTGTGTGCAAATGCTAAATTGAGTTCAGTGGAACATCACTTGCCCCCTTTTGTTAGGTGTTTTGTAAAAGTCACTTTGATTCAATTATTTTTATGCCATAAACTTTTCTGCTCAAAGTTTATGTTATATACACTGTTATGGTATATATACTGTATGTAGGTTTAGAGTTTCCTTTGATAAATGCCAAAATAAAGCACTGTCAAATCATTAGCCCATCTCCCCACTGAAATCTGTTGCTAATGAAGAACTAAATGCTTTATGACGATAGCGTGAAATTAATGTATCTCTGGAGGGATCAGGCCTGAGTCAAGATTATCTGAAGAGGCCAAACACTTCAGATACAGGGAGCAATCTCCCAGCGATGTTGTCCATTGAAGATATGTTCTACTAAAAATCTGAACTGATGGAAACATTAGGTGAGTGGACTTGGCTTTTACTTTTAAAGCTGAAATCTGTATTCAGTGACAGTGAAGACAATCTGTTTTAAAGTCAAAGCTGTATTTATTTTTTTTACAATTTGGGGCTTTCTCTTGATAATGGACTTTATTTATGTCAAGCATTTATAGGTGGCATGCTGCTCTTTTCACATTTAGCCAAGTTTTATTCGTCTAAAATGAAACTTTACAATATGAAAGTGTTTTTCATTTCTTTTTTATGTATATAGACCTTTAATTCATGTTTTTCTTTAACAGGTTTGCTCAGTTAGCAAAATGCAGAATCTGTCTGAACTTCCAAACAATGCAACTTCCCACAAAAGCTTCTCTGTGATCATCAAGGTGTGTGTGGTCATCCCTTTCTTCTGTGTCTTCCTCTGCTGCATTGCTGTCATGCTATACATCTTTGCATCTCACAGGCAGTTCCTGGACACCTCACGTTACATCCTCTTCACTTACATGCTGATCAATGACACCCTGCAGCTCTTGACCTCTGTGCTGCTCTTCCTCTTTGTAATGGGTCAGGTGAAATTTCCTATTGTCTGTTGTGTTCCTCTGTTGTTCATATCCACTGCCACTTTCCAAAACACACCCTTAATCCTGGCCACGATGTCACTGGAGCGTTATGTTGCCATCTTCTATCCCCTGCAGCGTCCCGCAGCCTGGCGTTCAGAGCGTATCTGGATCATTATTCTTTGTCTGTGGCTCATCAGTTGTATTTTCACAATCACTGACTACTCCATCGGGAAACATTATCTCACTGTGGATGTCCTCTCTACCCCTGTGCTGTGCAAAAATGTCATTGTCAGCTCAACTCCAATTCAGACAATATTCAAAGCTGTTGGAAATGTGCTCTTCTTTGCAGCAGTGGCTGTCATCATGCTCTTTACATATATAAGGATACTGCTGGAAACTCAGAAGCTGAGACAAGACAAAGCATCCGTAAGCAAAGCCATGCATACTGTGGTGCTACACGGCTTTCAGCTGCTGCTGTGCATGTTGGCCTTCACTCACCCCATCACTGAAACTCTCATAGTGCTGCATGCTAACTGGCAACCCGAAGACATTGCCTTTTTTAATTTCTTCTGTTTCATGCTAATCCCACGTTTTCTTAGCCCGCTCATCTATGGCTTCAGAGATCAGAGTCTCAGAGGCTACATCGGGAAAACGTTTCTCTGCTGTTCAAATAAAGTCAAAACCCCACATCAGAGGCCAGCTGTATGACAATTTGTCTGCTCTTTGAACAAGTTTTGACTGAACTGTCAAACATACAGTAAGGTGTCATAGGGTGTATTTGTTATGTTTAAACAGGGTATCTGTGGTTTATGAAAAGTCTTAAAGGATAGGTTTACAAATCTGCAAGTCATCTTAAAACAAAAGTCAACCTAAAAGTGGAATAATTAGAGCTATAACACTTGGGAAGTTCATCATCTCAAAATGGGCAAATGTCAATTTTAGCAAAGCTTGAACTTAGATAATTTAACAGTTTTTATGCTGGTTAATCCATTTTATGTCAGCTATCAGACTAACTGAATTAATGTTCTCATTAGGAATATTATATTATGTAATTTGGGAAGTACTGAAATAAATGTTATAAAAAATCTGTGGACATACACGAGTAGAGTGAACAATGATATTATACCATCCTACTCTAAAGCTTTAGACAATATTAAAACATTTATAATACTTAGAAGACAGCTAGATCTAAGCTCTGAACAACAATTAAGAACTGATTAAACCTGTATGCACATAGCACTGCTTTATTAAAATTTTAGTTTTATAGATCCAACGCTATTAATAATAAACCAGGCAATGAATGTAAAACTGTGCCAGCAGTATATTATTCAAATGTATGAGTGAATTTAAAGTATCATATGGTAAGCCTGGCTCTGGAATTCACCCTCTTGTCTCACTACATTTAAGTCTGTAGTTCTGATTATGCATAACTTAACTGAACACCAGGCAAGCTAATGCTTTTGGTTCACTGTATTCCACTTTGATTAGACTCAAACACTTAAAAGCTTAAAATTGCAAGTTATACTAACAATAACATAGGCATTGTTTTTCAAGCCCTTCTTGTAAATTAGCACACTGATACAGTATTTTCATGTACAAGTCAGTGTGCTGGTCCTGGGAGCAAAACTGTGGCTTGAATGCATATAGTTGTAGTAACCATATCTGATGCTGGTTACACTTTGTCAAAATTGTTTTTCTGAATATACTGCTGGTGATCGTACATGTCTCAGAGTAACTATAAATACAGGGTGTAGCCCTGCAAGCTATCGCCTCCTTCAGAAGGCACAAATATGCAAAGTATAATAGTGACTATATGTGTCATAAAAGGAATATCATGTTTGTATTAGTTTTATACTTGCACTTTGCATGATGGAAGCTACACTCACAGGTCACTTTATTAGGTACACCTGTACAATTGTATACAATTCAATGCAACACATCTGCCTTAACATCTGTGTTTATGAAGCTCAAAATGTTTTAGTTTAGTGAAATTGTCATAAATGTGTAAATTCAGCTATATGTTTATTATTGAGCCGATAGTTAAAAGTGATGTTGTATTGGACTACATTATATTCAGAGGTGTTCCTAATATTCTCACCCTCTCATGTATGTAGCTGGGGAGGACACAAATATAGAAACACCTCTAAATATAATGAAAAAAAAATCTGATTTGAGTCACTTCAACAGGTATTGTGAATGTAGCTTTATTCTATGCAAGGCCAGCATCAAATTACCATACCAGCCTGTGACATTAAAGGCCAGGATACTCTTAATTAATGTAGATCCGTGTTTGGGGGTGGGACCACTATTAAAGTTACCTGTAAATTCATTGTATGTTTTGGTTGTTTTTGTTACTTTTTCTGCACATCATATCACATCCCAAGGACAATAGTAAAGAAACAGCAATAATATAAACAGTAATAATTTAGACTTTTCCTATTGCTGTAGAGCTTCATTTTTGCAGCTTGTTTGTTGTACGAATATTTTGCCTGTAGGTGTCGCTGTAGCTTCAAATTTAATTTGCCTACCTGTATATATGTTCTTATTTCTTCAAATGACTGAAACTCTAGTTGCCCACTTCAAAGTATTCAAGTAAACTTACAATTATAATAAAAGTGGTAAATAAGTACATTTAGATTTATTTATAAATTTGCAAGAACTAGGATAAACCCTGAACGGGCAGCTCATTTATTCAGAAACAGCTCCACAAACCGACCCAAACGCCACAGACTTTAGTGTCCTTGTTGTTTGAGAGTAGCTAAACAAACCTGTCAGGTGAGTGCTATAAGGAGAAACTAAATGTCCTGGATGAGTTGCAGGCTGCAGGCCGGTCAGTGAAAACTGATCCCAGATCTGAAGGAGATCCCCATGTGGAGTGCAGAGGCACGTTTGGTCCTCGCAGAGAGTGTCAGGACCAAATCCTGGCGATCCTCAGTGTTGCTCACCGAAGCTGCTGTGGAAGGAAACTTTTAACGCAAAGTTGATTTCTTGCCCTGGAAATGAAGTGTTTTACATGTGTTTGCTTTTTCTGGGGTCTCCTGACTGTAGCCGTGATCCCCCTGTCTGTAGGAGAAATGTACACGTCGCTGCTGAGCGTAAAGCAGGCGATCAGTGTTGAACGGAAGCTAATCGATTACTTGAGGACTTATATTGACCACGAGTTGGAGAGGCTGGAGGACATCAAACGGTGAGCAACAGGCATGATGACACACTGGAGATGAGGACAAAAAAGAAGTTTTTCGTTTGCACACTAGAAATCAATAAGACATTAATACTTTAACATGCAAATTAATTTCTACTAATAGCCATGCAGGTGTGGTGATCTTATCATCCAGTGAGCAAACCTGGAGCTGCTCCATTAAGTAAATAATAATTGACAAGTGTTTGGACATGATGATGATGAAAACACATGTGGAGGTTTGTTTGGTCAGATCAACAGCTGGGAGTCCTCAATCTTATTAAATTATGGGCTATAAAAATTATCTACTGGAGTTGATCATCTGATGAAACCTTTGATCTGAAGATACTTGACTTCAATGTGGTGGGAATAAAACAATTTATGTTCTGTTTTAAGGGTTTTTTTTTTATGAACACAATTAACTTGACTTAATCATATTGGACTCAGGATGATTGATGGAAAATAAGAAGTCACTTCTCACCAATTTAGGCTGTTTATGCTTCTGTGGAAATGACTGCTTCTAATTTTATAGTGGGCCCTGACATTTAAAGCAGCAGATTTTTGTAGTGGCTTTTGTGGTGTGCAGTTGGAAAATGAGTCCTGTCATGCATCAGCTTTATTCATCCGCTCTGACAATATGAGATGCAGGTTTCCATCCTTCTGGGTGGCCACTGTTTAAAAGTCTACAATATCCTGTGTGTGATAAGATGTGTATGGCTCTTAACTATTCTTCTGATATTACTGTGAGAGTTTTCTCTGTATCTGTTGTTTATTTCATTATTTTATGCAATTTGATTTCCACTGAATTGTCTCTACTGAGTGCTTGTAATCATCGTCTTTGCTATTTCTACCCTATTAAAGACCATCTGGGGTTGAAACTGGTCAGTTGTCTGAATGGATACACAGCACAATACTTCACTAAATAAAGGGTTATAATATAACTTTTGGCCTTGCTCGGCCTAAAGAGCATATTATTCTCTATGAGCAGTTTTTAGATTTCCAGGAGCTCCTAAATGTTCCAGGACTCACATACTACATGTGAAACCATCTTGTCATTCTTTTTGTGCATCTATACAGCTTTTATGCCAAAGTGTCTGACCTGCACTCTGAACTCTACAAAGGCCCAGAGACTGTGATAGCAAACCCGCTGGTGGCATTCACCCTGGTCAAGCGGCTGCATTCAGAATGGCTGAATGTAGTCTACAGCAACGAAGCCCTGGAGAATGCACAAGGTTGGCTCACAGCTAGCTTCACATGCACACATCTGGTTATGATAGCTAAACATCCCCCTTTCTCTGCTGTCACCACCCAACCCCCCACCCTTCATCCTCGAGTTCACTTTTTGACCTCTGTGTCCAGCCCTCAGGTCTAGTTACAAGGAGGAGGAGGCCGGACTGCCCACATTGGAAGACCTCCAGGGGGCTGCCAAGGCATTGATGAGGCTGCAGGACGTGTACACTCTCCAAGTCGCAAGTCTCGTGAGGGGTCGTTTCCAGAGAGTCAGTAATGGCAATCCTATTGATATCTACACGCCTGCAGTGTCTGTCCTATTGTCTGGTGATGACTGCTTTCTGGTTGGAAAGGTACACAGTCATTTATGTTCCTGTGTTTTTTAATATCCTTAGGAGAAAAGGGACATAAATCCTTATAAGTACCAAAAAAGCAGTCTGGAAAAAAAAAAAACTCCACTATAAATCCTGTATTCGAAGTAGGTATTAGCAACAAAAAGTACTAAGGAAAGGAATCCATTTCTGTGAGGAATAATATGCTATTGTACAAGTACAGAAGGAAAAAAACAAGGTCTAAGCAGAATAAATTCCACTGTTTATGTACAACGGTGATGTGTAAAGGGCAGGGCACTATGTGGGAGAAAAATCCTACTGTATGGAAAAGACATTATCACATGCAGCAGACATCAAGAAGCAAAAAGCAGAGCCTGCCTTCATTTGTTTTGAGGCTGAGATTATCTGAGACAATCTGTAAAGAGAGATGCTGAGGGTGTTGTCAGTAAAGGACTGATTTTACTGAGTGCATGTGCTTATATATGGCTGTTAAAGTAAAAGGGTTTGTAACAGGAACTTGTGAGTTTTATTGGGAGTGGTTCCAAAGCTGAATTGAATAGCAATTCAAAGCTTCCTTTAGGCAGTACAAAGATCTGCTGCATATTAACTGTATGAATTGTTAGAATTCACTGGTTCTTTAGCCTGTTGGTGTAGAGAGTAACAGCTCCTTAATTATGGGGTATGATGTTGTGAAGTGGGTGTCAACCTGTGGAACAGCTGAGTGTGAGTTTGTGTGTGTGTTTGTGGAGGTAATTGGTACACTGGGATTTTTGTCTGTCTTCTGCCTGGAAGAGTTGTGGATATAACCTTTGACCATAGGAGCCTTTATGCCACCCTGTTTCTCTGGGTGCTGTAAGGCACCCACTGTAGTCAGCACCTACTTAATCAAATCAAGTCAGCTCCAAAAGGGGTTTGAAACCAGGTGAAGAGGTGTTTGTACTGCTACACAAATTTAGTATTTCAGTCCTATAAAAAGGCTCAACATCACTGCAGCAGAACCAAAGATATCCATACCATTTTGATTCCATACATTCTAGGTTGTTGTCAAAACCTGGTGCCTACATTACCCACAATGCAACACAACCACTGATAATTTAGTCACAGACATAGTTGGAACTAATGTAATCTTACTGCTGCTAAATTCAACAAAACTACAACTCCAAAACCTTGCAAAGTATTGTGAAAATTTCAAATATTAGTAATTAAAAGGAACTCAGATGTTATTTTACGCAGGTGGCCTATGAGCAGGAAGACTACTACCACTCAGTGCCGTGGTTGGAGGAGTCGGTGCATCTCTTCAGGAGAACAGGAGGCGAGTGGAACCTTGAGAATGAAGGGAGTTTAGAGGATGCTCTGGATCACCTGGCCTTCTCTCACTTTAAAGTAGGTAGAAGGACAACATCTGTAAGATCATAGATGAACTGCGCTGCTCTATAATCCTTCATTGTTTCAGACAGGAAACGTCTCCTACGCTCTGAGCCTCTCTCAGGAGTTACTGCATCATGGTAAATCTTTTCAGTCAAATTGTTTCTCGAACTTAAATACGATAAATCCCCCTTACTGGTTGTATCGTTGCCTCTCTGAACAGTGTGAACTTTTTCTTGCCAGATCCAGTGAATGGGAGAGTTCTGCAGAATGTTAAGAAATATGAGAAGCTGCTGGTTGCTGCTAGTCCACCCACGGGCGATGGGTTGAGGAGACCCACCTCCAAGTATTTAAGGACCAGGGACACTTATGAAAGACTCTGCCAGACCCAAGGCTCTCAGGTCTCATCACAATTAATAACTCTGAACAAATGTATAAGGAACTATCTGGAAAGGTTCAGATTTAAGTTAATGCAACAACCAAAGGATTTCTATTTGTATAATTACAACCAAATGGGCAATTACATTTGGCTTTTTCAGCGGTATACTTGGTATGCAAATTTTGGGCTCCTCGATCTGGGTAAATTATGTTTTGTGGTGAAAACCCTTGCAGCATGTAGACATGAAAAAAATAACTTTTCTTCAACTGCTAATGGACTGTTACTTTGTACTTTATGAAATCTCATCATGTTAATATGCTAATGTTTATTATGCTGGTGGTCAAAATATTATTTTAGCATGTTAGGATGCTAATATTTGCTAATTAGCACTAACTAGCTGATGGGAATGCTTTGCAGGTATTTGCTCATAAACCAAAGTACTGGACAAATAAAATTCCTGACCTGATGATAAGTTACCTCAAAAGTTACTGGATAAGCAGAGTCAGTATTCATTCTCTCAGCATTATGAAATTCTATACCAAATTTAATCATCATACATCCAATAGTTGCTGAGATATTTAGGCTTGGACTGACAACATCAAAATGCTGCTTAGAACATAGCAAAACATTCATATCATTGTCATTTAAACAGCTACTGTATTTTGACTAAATTCTCAAATTTACATTTTAGCCAAGATCCACAAGCAAGCTTGTAATGGGAGTGTGTTTCTCCTAACAGCCAATGCATTTTGAAAACCCCCGACTGTTCTGTGACTACTTCTCTAATGACAATCCTGGTCTGCTCCTGCTGCCAGCGAAACGCGAAGTGCTGAGCCTACAGCCATATGTGGTCCTATACCACAACTTCATCACTGACACAGAGGCTGAAGACATCAAGAGGGTTGCCCAGCCAGGAGTAAGTGCCAATACTGTGCATTTTCCTCATCACTTGTGTGTAAAAAAAAAAAAAAAAAAATGCCCATGTGTCTCCAATATATCAGGTTTTCTAGCAATTAAGAAAAAGAGACCAATTTTTACAATGCACATCCTGCATTTTTAGTCCAATTAAGTTTTCAAATTGTTTTGTAGAGTTTTGTCAACAAAAAGAGGAAATGTGCTGTTTTCTGTTTTTTCCCTCATGGGACATATAAAAAGTGGAGCTGCAAAGTTTTTTCTGCTGGTATTACTGGTAATTTTACTGTGTCTCTGAACATATTTTTATTTTCCTCCACCCCTGGTGTTTGCTTTTCATTACTGAAATTGGCAGGTTCTTAGCAGGATTTAATATTTTTCATTTCACTTGTAGTGCATTCTCATTTGGAGATACTTACCTAAAGTGGACCTCCTCTTTTTCTACATCCATATTTTATGGGCTGTCTTCATGATGGCACACAGTTTACATGTTTGTAAGTGCAACCTCTGGTGTCCCATGGCACAACTTGTGAATTGGCAGAAAAATTACAGCTGATTTCAACTGACTAGAATATGAACAATACTCATAAGGTGTCACCGGTCACCCAACACATGTTCATCGTTTTCACTGTGCTTAAAGTTTTCTTGCCCTCTGACTCGAAGCATCCAATAACACACTTGTGCATTTACAGGCATTGGTACTGTTTGTCTTGCCGTTATCACAGAGAGTATTTGTTCCTTGAGCATTTATTCAAGTGATTTTTTTATTTACTTGTACTTGTACTTCTTTATTTTACTTACTTCTATTCTACAACAGGGAAGTATTGTACATTTATATTACAGTGGTAGTTACTTTGCAGATTAGCATATTAGCAGTCTTTAAAAGATGATGATTTGTTATAGTTCCAGGAGCTCATAACAACTCCACCAGATCACAACAAAAGTAAAAGGTGTTTCCAAATTAATGCATCTGCAGGAGCAATCCACTAATGTAAATTGGGTCACTTTGCATAATGACTATTTTTACTTTTGATACTTTATATATATTTTGCTGATTAAACTTTCCTGTAGCAATGAGCACATAGAAAAATAAAATTAGCTGAGTGAAGTCTTTTTTTAATCACGATGAAGGGTCTGTCAAAGTGGATTTTTTTGTAAAAAAAAAACAAAAGACTTCTGTACATATGCCTTGATAATGTCTCTGCTGTAGAGCTCACAAGCTGTTATGGTTTAAGCCAGCCATGGAGATTTTCCTACTGGAAAGATCCTGTGGAGGAAGAGTTGGTCTGTTTCCAGTCATTTAAGAAAGCTGAAAGGAATTAAGGATACTTTACCATGAAAACTTGGCTGAACGGCTAAATCTGTCACACATTTCAATGCTTGGCTTCACTGGTAAATATTCAGTCCACTGTCACTGAGCCTCATTGACAATATCTAAACACAGATGTTATCTGAAAATTAAAATTAATGGAAGCTACAGTACTGATCTCAGAGTTGCTGCCTGTATGCTGACTCGGTTGCTTTAGGGAATAGTTGGCCAACTTGTGCAGCTGGTGCCCTGTGGTCTTTTTGAGGTTTTGCCATTATTTAATGAGTTTTCCATGCTTTGCTCAAATGGAAACCCCTGTATTTATTTCATCATTATGTCAGCCAGTGGGTTCACTGACAACATTCCCAGGGTCTGGTATTTAGTATATACTGTATATTATAGTTTGGAGCAGCAAGCAGCCCTCATTAACCATGAGCATGGGTTACACTTTGTTCCAGCTGGATGAATGAGGCCACGTTAACAGATCAGTCACTGTACAGGTTTGTCTTGAGATTAATTTGTGAGATAAGATACTTTGTTTTGTTACATTCTCCCTCTCCTGATATGTTTTAGTAAATTCCCTTAGATTTGAACGACGTAATGTCCTTTCATAGCCATAGGGTACCTGCATGTCATTAGGAGTTAAATTAATGAGGAATATTGTAATGTGCCACATAGAATACTGTACTGCTAACTGAAAAACAGGTGTGTAGTAATCAGAATGCAGTGAGGCAATACTGCAGTGCAAGTAAATCACAGATGAGCAGTTTTAGAGCATTCTTGGTCCAAAACATTTGGACTTCCCTAGACTCCCTTCCAGAAAAAAATGAAAAATTGAAACTTGAAGCTGTTACTTATGGGGAAACTAGTGTATCTAGACTGTGGTCATATCAGGCTTCTTATGTGCACTTTTACACCCTTCTTGTTGGTTTGCAGTCAAGAATGTGCATTTATTCAACAACTCTATTTTGGTAAGATTAATCCAAGTCGATTGTTATGGCAGTTTTTATTTTTCCATTTCTGCTCTCAGTTGTCATTATGAAGGCATCATTGGAGCATGATTTTATGTTGTTACTCGCACTTTGTCAGAACTGTCAGCCGGACATAACAACTTAACGCCTGCAACAATAACAAACATAAGATGCTGTTTTCTGTCTTTAAGTTGAGAAGATCTGTGGTGGCAGCTGGAGAGAAACAAGCAACAGCAGACTATCGCATCAGCAAGAGGTACAAATGATTTAAAAGTCAGTTATTTATTACTCTTTGTTTACAATATGCTGTTTGTTATCAGGTAGTTTATTCCTTTTAGCATGTTTATAGCGATAGTCTTGTTGCAAACTGAACTACACACATTTGTAGAAGTAGGTACTTTGAAACCAAAATATTTAAAGCATGCAAATGAAAGATAACTTGACCAGCATGTTTTATTTCTAGTGCATGGATGAAGGGTTCAGCACACTCTATTGTTGGGAGGCTGGACCAGAGGATCTCCATGCTCACTGGTCTGAATGTGAAGCATCCGTATGGCGAGTACCTCCAAGTGGTGAATTATGGGATTGGCGGCCATTATGAGCCTCACTTTGACCATGCTACAGTAAGTTGTTCATCGGTTGAATTTTATACTTCATAGTCTATGAATGGTGTTTGTCCTTACGTTTATCATTTACTGCTACGTCTTAATGTTTGTTACATGTCCTTGCGTCCAGTCACCAACAAGTCCGGTGTTCAGGCTGAAAACTGGGAATCGAGTGGCAACTTTCATGATATATGTGAGTAAAGGTTACTCTAACCATCTTCTGGTCCTGTGTGACCCAGACAGCAGCCAGAGTTTCTTGGGCAGGTCCCGGTCAGCTGTTCCAAAGTCTAAACTAAAAAGAAAGCGGTCAGGCCTTTGCCAAGGACGCCGTAAGACTTTGGAACAACTGCCTGAGAAACCTCAGTTATAATTTTGTAGAAGTTTTTTCAAGCAATAAACTTAAACCAAACTCTGTATTTTGTCTCTGACCTCTATTATAGGTATAATTTTATAATTTGGCCTTTACACCTTTTATTTGTCCCTTTAGTCTGTTAATTTGTTAATCAGTTTAAGAGGTTTTTTCATAACAAGAGCACATAAACACAAGACAGCTATGAAGGAATGTCTTTTTCCACAGCTCAGCTCTGTCGAGGCAGGTGGGTCCACAGCTTTTATCTATGCCAACTTCAGCATTCCTGTTGTGGAGGTAAGCATGTTGCAGATGTGATGAGCTGCTGAAAGCAACTTCTTTTGTCTTCATGTCTTTCTCTGGTGCAGCTGTCAAAATGCTTACAGGTCAAAAACAGCCATGATTGTTTTTATACTGCTATTGTGTAGCTGAATTCCAGTGGAAGTTGAAACTGTTTTGAGATTGATACAGAAGCTGCAGTGGAAAGTTCACCAGGCCATCCCTGGGGTTTACCCTTTCACCTTTCATTTTACTGAGATCTCACTTCCTGGCTGTTTATACAGAAAATAAGAGAATGTCATAAAGTAATAAAATGACCAACAAAACACTTATTCTCATGATTGAATTGCAGCATGTTTGAGATATTTAGATTAAAGCTGAATTAGTAACCTGCAGACAAAGAATCATTTCATTTATACTTCTCTATAACTTAAATACTCTATATTTCTGTTTTAGTGTGGTGCCTGTGCATCTTTGTTACTTTGTTTTTATAAATTCATGTAACCAATAACAGGGCTTTGCTTTAAAAGAGCATTTATGCTCAGCCAGCATGTCCTGTATAAATGATGTCACAAGTAGAGGTTAAACTATTAACTCATCATGTGATAACCAGTCAGTTACTTATCAGTAATGTGTCTGAATAGGCTTGGGCTTTAGGAAACTCTGAGGGGCATTTTTTTTTACCACTTTCTAATATTTCTCAGACCAAATAACCAACCAATCAGGAAAATATTAGTCATATTAATTGATAATGAAAATAATTAAACTTGGAACCTTATTTTGGACCAAACCACTTTTCTGACTTCTAAATTGTCATTTTATGTTTTTTCACAGAAAGCTGCCATCTTCTGGTGGAATCTCCATAGAAACGGTCAAGGAGACGTAGACACCCTGCATGCTGGCTGCCCTGTGCTTTTTGGAGACAAATGGGGTGAGTTAGTAGACACAAAGTACGATGTGATGCTGCTGCCAACAGGAGCCAAAAAGTAAGCCAGAGCAATTTATGATATTGTTCTCTTTTAAACACTCTGAGCATTTTTGCATTAATATCATGGTCTGTTTTCCACTGTTCCACCACTTATAAAAAAGCAAATGTACGACAGCGAGGCCACATTTGTGGTGCGTCATGGATTTAGAGATATTACAGAGTGCAGTTCAGGCACCGGGGAAGCTAAACATCTACTGCTGGTTGGTCCACACCAGCGAACTCTCGACCCTGAAATGTGTCAGGGACCCAGTTAAACCTACAAGAAAGATATTAATCACCACAAATCAGCTGCAGAAGCATTTGGTGTGTTTCTTTGGAAGCCACATGCATTATTAGAAAGAAATGTGCTTGTCAAACCCAAGTATTCAAATGTTTTAAAAAATGCAAGGCCAAGAAAACTTTCATTTGCTGTTTTTTCTGTCTTAAAAATATTTGAGGATAGTTTGGATATGTCTGTATGTTCCAGTGGCAAACAAATGGATCCATGAGTATGGACAAGAGTTCCAACATCGCTGCAATCTGAATCCTGAAGAGTGAGAGGGGTGGAGCATTAGTTGGTCCCCTTGGAAATTGAGAGGCACGCTTGTGGGCGGAGACAAGAAACAGTCAGAAAGTGAAAACACAAGCAGTGGTGGTGAAAGATGTGGAGGGGTTGCCTGCATCTGTGACTGGAGCCTGGGCCCCAGGGAGCCTGGAGCAGACACTGCAGCAGTAAACATGGAAGCTGAGAGATGTCGTAGACAAGGAGTAGGGCAGTTGGAACTGGCCCCTGGAAGCCAAGTGCTCTCTTGCTCCCACTAGCCAGTTTCTGCAGATGGAGATAATCCTCTGCCTTTGCACACATACTGGTTTCAGTTAAGGGTGTTTACTGCCTTCTTCGTTTGAAAAGTACATCTTATGCAGCCCCTTTCCAATGCTCAAGAATCTGTCATTACAAATCAACACAAATGAACGTAGCTGCAGAAGTTGATAAAGATTTCTAATATTCCAGGTTGAATCACAGGGAAATGTGTAAACAATGACGCACAACACGTGTAGAATTTCCTGTCTAATGTAATGTTGCAACCAGAATTAATTTGGTTGGGGGGGGGGTCCTGAAAATTCAGTGCAATCGAAATGTAAAACTGCTTCCATGAAGTGCCAGAACAAGCAGAGAACATGTAACCTCAATGTACACTGTGGAAAAATTGTTTTATGACTTAAAGGTGTGTTACAAGTGATCAAGACAGACTGTTCAATTAGCTCTTTATATATTTCCTCCATTTATATTGCACATTCATACATTGCAGATTAGAGAGAGAACAGAGATTTAATTGTTCTGTATTTGATCATGTCAGAGCTCAGGATTGCAGTTCAGACTGATGTTATGAGTCAAATGGGACCCGTCATTGTGAGTGTGCCTGTTTGTTCCCAGCTGGCTGAATGATGTGGTCATCTCTGTCTGTGTGGAAGAAACTCACTTTGGTCTGACTGATTGAATGGAAAAGATGAACCAGATCTCTCAGCCTCTTACTAAGCTGCATTAGTCATCATTAATCATGTTCATCTCCACATCAAGTTCATGTCTGAACTCACATAACCAGTGCCATCTGCATACCACTCAGACATCTGTGTCTAAGTAGGTCATATCCCAGAGTTAGGCGGGACATACACAGTAATAAAATTCATTAGCTAGAAGCAGTTACATGTCTCTCTATATGGAACTGTTTAGGGCATCCTGCCACTTGAGTGCCAGTGAAAGTGAAAAGGAATGATGAATAATAACTTTGCTTACCCTCAGCAATATAAGCCTTCTTTCTAGCTCACCACAGTACAGACAAACAGAAACCATCTCAAGGCACACACTAATATTCAAGGTGCATTTTGCACATTTTGGTTGCACACTAAACAGCAGGAGGTGACTGTTTCGATGGTTTAGAAAATCCAGCTTTTTTGCAGATCTTTGATCTTTTTCATTTTAGTGATAATATGAGATTCAGACTATCTAAAACCCCGTTATCACTACATGTGGACTTAAAAGGTTAAAAAACTAAATGTTTGCAACTACTTTGGCTATATAGGAACAGCTACTAATGAGATCAGTTACTAGAATTCATTTTATGTTATATCCAAATTATAATTTTTTTTTCCCATTTTAACCGAGGCAGCAGAGATGAATGCCTATCTAGTCAAATCTTTGAAACAAACAGATAGAAAAACAAACTTACAGGAAACCAGAAAGGTCTTTTCAGAGGTGCATCTTGAAAGTTGAAACACAATCTTCATAGTGTTACCATGTTCACCATAACAAACATGGCTGCAGACTGACAAGTTACTAAATCCGCAGTTTAAACTACAGTACCTTAAGCATACGTGACCATATCCTCTGATTCAAAACACTGTCAAGTACATACAATTGCAAATTAAATTAATATTGCCCATTAGAATGCAACATTTTAAACACTTTGGGAACCTTCGTAACTTGTGAAAGGTTTTGAGTGTGCAGAGTTGATACAATCCTGACTCATAAGCAGCCCAGCAGTAGAAAAGGTAAAAGAGAAATACAGCAAAGATGACTGCTTCCCTCTGCTGGAGATGATAAAGAAGGGTACATGGAGCCAATGAAACATTAAAATGTTTTTTTTTCACTTTAATAATATATGTGGGGTGATTTTACTGTAACTAAATTAGAGTTTTGAAGTAGTTTATATTGCTATTATATTATTGTGTGTGTGATAAATTCATTAAATTAATCTTCCACAATAAGTGCTACAGTGTGTGCAACTATAATTTTTTAATTAATTTGTGGATACATTAATGGAATTACACTCATGTGTGATTGGTTTGAGCATTTTTACTGTTTTTTTATTGCCTCTGTACAATTTATGAGCCAATAAAATGTAGTTTTGCTTAAAATGAGACCAAATAATCGTTTGTGTTTCACAGGTAAAAAATGAAATGTGTAATTCAAAATTTAAATTTGAACTAAATCCATAATAATTGTGGCCTAAATCTGAGCAAAAACCTGTTCTTGGGCCTCTGTTGACCCTGTTTGGCATCTTAATTATTTCCCAGGCACCCAAAAACCAAGTGTTCTAATGAAATCATTACTACTACTACTACTACTACTACTATAATTATTATTATTAATGACATTTATAAACAAAAAAATGTCAAAAATCCACTGCTGATGATGTCTCAAATGGTAATACTGTATAATAATAATAATAGGTTTATTTACAAAAATAAATTTAATTTGTATTGAAATCTTAAAATAATTGCTGGTTGATCATTATCCAGGAAGAATATTTTAATTGATACTGAAGGCAGATTGGATAAAACACAACTTTACAATAAATTAGCACAAAATTAACTCCAATAATTAGGCTAAGGATTAAAGCAAGATTTCCACGGGGTTTCTATAACACCAGAGACAGGGTTAAAGTTCCGTGAAAGTTTATCATTTGGATCCGAGATAAATTTGCTTAAATGTAAGACTGTTGTCGTGTAAACTGTTATCGAATTTATGCTAATCTAACTTTAACAGCAACAAACTCCATTTCCCACCATGCCTCTGTGAAAGGAGGCGGCAGCGAAGGCGGGACAAAAGTTGCAACTTGGACTGTTGCTCGGTGACAGTTTTGCGCGCTTCCTTTTGTATATGGGTGTGTGTGTATACATGAATGTGTTTAAAGCTCAAACACCTTTGTCAAACGGAATATAATTTAGCTGCAGAGTGATGCAGTCATGTCCACTAACGGTACCGACACCGTTTTAGCCAGGCTATCGTTCACATTCTGTATTTATTGAGGTATGAAGAGCAGAAAACACAGGGCGGTCAAAGCTGCAAGCAGCAAAAGGAAAGGTAGGGTAAACTGTTGTTAGCTTAGCTACCTGCTAGCAGCTAACCTAACTTAGCTAAGAAGTTTTCTGTTAGTGTCACCTGGCACATTAGGCTGGTATGTTAGCTTATTGGCTGATGTTATGTTAAAATGTTTTCGTTCTCTCTTGTGTTGCTGTTTTTGCATGTGCTAATGTCAATGCTGTTAAAATAGCTAATGCGCTTCATTAAGTCTTTGTTTACTGTCTTTACATTACAACTTTGTAGTTCTTATTGTGGAACAGTTTGTGGTTTTATCAACGAACGCTAATTCTCATGTTGGCTTAACGTTACAATAAGATATTGCTAAATGATATAGACGACCACCACAAACTGGAATCTGCAACAGTCAGATCACGCACCTTTCTGATTAACTAAACCAAAATTTAACACTTACTGTAAGTGTATAAAAAGATTGCAGCCGCTTATAATTCAAGATTTACACTACTTCGTGTCACCAAGGTGCAGTTACTTGAATGAATGACTGCAACCATTAATTAGTCAGTCCATCGACAGAGAATTAAGCTTCAGCTATTTTCATAATCCAGTAATTGTTTTAGTCATTCTTAAAACAAAAACGTTGCTCCGGTTTCTTAAATGTGAGGATGTATTGCTTTTCTTTATCTGAACACCTGACCTTATGCTATTGGAAATGATTTTGTCATCTTTTTCTGGCATCTCACAGTTTTACTGACGTTTTATAGACAGAACATTGATTAATTGGAACGACAATTAGACAAATCAATAATGGAAATAGTTACAGTAAAAAAAAAATCAAGTTCATATCAGTGAGCTGTGTTTCAGTGTTACATATATATATTAAATTTGATTCATTTTAATATGTGTAAACAAAGACATTGTTGTACACCTGCATTGAAATCAAGAATTTGGACAGCATGTTAAGATCATATCATCACTATATTATTTTGCAGAAATGCAATACACAATAATGTAGAACTGTTGTACAGCCCTAGTGAACATCACAGCATGACTGTTATACCATCCAACACTGAACTAAAACATGCAGCAAACACCACTTTTAACATGCCTGCCGCACTATATGGTGACATTTGAATTTACTGTGCTTGTATTGTTTGTATCTTGAAAATGCTGTTGTTAAAAATAACTTTTTGCAGTCCCCAGTGATGTGTCCCCCTCCACAAGCCTCCCTCCTCTGGTGGAGGGTCAGCTGAGATGCTTCCTACGTGTAACGATAAGCCGGGTGTTATGGACTGTCCACAAACCTCCATCTGGAACATTCACCAGGCTGCGCTGGTGGGGGGAGTCATCTGACGGGACACACTTCTTTCCAAGAGATGGATTGCAACTCTCACAGAAGGCTATTAAGACCACAGCTCGCTTCCCCATCCGCTGCGGGCCAAAGCAGTTCACCTCATATCTTACAGGTAACTAAGAAGATTTGTTTGCATTTTCTATACTGCAAACATTTAGTTTAAAATCTACAATTAACCTGTCATCGATGAATAGATATGGGCTGTTTGGTGCTGGAAGTTTTGACGAAACCAGATCATTTGCCGATTGCACGGGCTCAGGTTGCTGGGATCTCCTGTCTCTCTCTGTCACACCCAATTAGTGGATTTTACACCCTTGTATCTCCAACATCTGAAAAGCTGGGAGAGCTACAGGTGAGTGAAAACTGTTAATATTGACCTGCCAACTGCACTTGTGGCATAACACCTGGAAATTATGGTATACAGTTTGGTATACAGACATTTAACATTGCATACTGACTTTATGACTACCATATAGATCAGAAGCTTTGTGGTTAATAGAAAAACACCTCTTAAACTGGAGGAAACATTTAAATTTCTCCTTATGGCAGTGGTATTCATTATGTGGCCCACCAAAGTTTAAGTGACAGGCAAGTGCTAAGTTAGCCTTTTCTTTGATCCCCTCAGGTGTCCCTCAATTTGGAGCCTCTGACTGAAGCTTATGACAGTAGCAGCTCAGGTCCCACCACAGATATCGCTGTTGAAAGACCAAAAGTCGTCACACCGACTGTGCTCTCGCAGCCCAGATCTCTCTCCGATGGCAGTGGGAAAGAATCAGTTGGGAGCAGCAGCAAAAACACACCAAGGTTTGTAGTAGTTGGTGTTATGGCATTGCTATTCATAATTCATTGCCTGTGTCTTGTTTGAACTCACTAGTACTAAATTTAAATCTTAGCATAATAATCTTACTCCTTGTATGGTTATAATATTTTCAGAGGGAAAGACCACTTGTATTTCCAAAATGCCCAGAGAGACGACACTGAAAAGTCACTTGAGAATCAGACACTGATAACAAACAGATCTCAGAACAGTAAAACGGCTGTGATTCCTTCAAATCAAGAGCCTCATGGACAAACAAATAATGATATCCTGTCAGGTTGGTTGCAGCATGATTACACATTAGTAGTGTGCTGTATATAACTAAAAATGCATAAGTATGGCTGGTTCCTAACACAAGCACATTTTTTGTCATGTCAGTTCTTCTTGAGCGTGGAAACAAGCTTAGAAATGCTATGGTGGTATCAGCTTTGAAATGTGACATGGACTCTGGCCCAGCTCTGAAAGATATGCCTCTCCTTATCCCAAAGGACAATAGCCCACAACTTTCCAAGTTAGTGTTTCAAAACTTTGTTCAGTCATCCAAACAAACAAAAAACTTTTTCTAATTTATAGTATAGTCTAAAATAATTTAATTTTGTGTTTGCAGACCCAGTCCTTCTCCCTCCGGGATGTTTCTTCAAAATATTCTTCATGCTGATTCAAGTCTTAAGCACTCTGATCCTGTTGCTGTAGTCTCAGACAGCGGCTTAGACTGTCCTGCTGACATGGACACTAGAGCTGTGGATCTGCTTCTTGGCAGGTACTGTGTGTGTGTATTTACTTCCAAAGTTGGATGAAAATGTCATTGTTTTTCCCCCAGGATTTAACTTTTTATTTTTTCAGCTTAACCATGTCTCCTCTGCCTCTCTGGGATGGAGAAGGCTCCTCTCCTGAATCTCTCTCTGGCCACAGCAGTGTGAGTGGGGATAGTGAGTTGAATGATCCACAGTACGATCAGAGCCTACTGGAAAATTTGTTCTACAAAACTCCTGTAAGTAGATGATTTTCTGACATATTTTGTGTCATATAACTGTCTGTTTAGTTACATTTCCTGCATGGCTTTGTTTAAAGTAATTTTTGTCTTCTTGCAGATGTCAGATACCAGACCTGATGATACTGAAGGTCAAGGAGCAGTGTCGCCAAGAAAAACTCAGCAAAAACATCTGACACAGTCTGGGCCCAAGATTAATGGAAGGTAGGGGCCTTTAGATGCTCAGTAAACCATTCTGCTTGGATCGTTAATAGTGAAAAGCTCCTCTTAGAAGGTCAGGTGAAGGGTGGGTGAGTCTGTGTCATCAGTTTTGTTTTAGGGTATCTACTTTAAAAACAGATGTTCATGACAGTTTGAGCTTGACTCAAACAGGGACAGCCTCATGTTAAGGCATTGTAATGATTAAAATATATAAATTAGCCAGCCACAATGAATAACAGATCAGAACTGACCAGGTTGATAAACTAGTTACACAGGATATATAAGACACAAACGGTACCATGATAGCATACTGTATACCACAAGCAAAACATTCAGATTAGACTTTATACAACCATACTACTTTTGTACCTTTAAGGCACTTATTCACCATATTTGACTGTGTCCAGTCCAACTTCAGAGCATCAGGGGTCCACAGATGCTGGTGGTAATCTTCCTGGCCTGAGCACGGAGCAGCTTACTTTACTTGGTTTAATCCGAATGGCGAGAGTGTCCATCGATTCCCTGACTGTACCTACAGGCAGCATGAACACCACACCCAGAAAGGCCTCTAGTAAAGGAAAACCTCCTCGACCACAAATTGGCAAAAAATGGTTGGCAAAAAATAAACGGTTATGTTGATCTCATTTAAAAATATCACTGTCATAAGTAACAAAATCTGTGTTAATGTTTCTCTATTTTTTAGCACATATTTTGTTGAGTATGTGTTCCCAGTGCGACATGGTTATAGTAAGGCTGGAGATGGGGATGTGACCAGAGCTGTTTGCAGTAAAGTCACTGGAGGAGGTATGACCTGTGAGAATCTGCTTTTATGAAACCCACCTGAGTGAAAAACACTTGTATTTGCATTGAACATTGTTTGTGACTGTATCTGACATGCTTTTTTTTTTTAAGTGCTGAAGTTCCATCACCAGTCTGTTTTTCCAATCCACTTCAATACTGCAACAGTTAAACAATGGTGGGGAATTGACCTGATTTTTAAGATTTACTCACGAAAGAGCAATCAAAAGAAGGTAAGTAGTTTTGGACTAAATATTTCTCTTTTTAGTATTTTAAAATGAGAGATATTGGTTGGTTTAAGAGTGTGTGACTGATTCTTGGGTATACGGTTTACCTTTTGTTTTTTTTGTGATTATAATATAAGTTGTTCTGACAATAATAAATTATAATATTCCTCTTTTTGCACAAGACAGCACAGGATTCTATTACTATTCTATTCCATTTAATATAATGCCAGTGTCAATTAGCATTAGTAGACATCTGCTGTCTTTTGAAATCTATTTAGATGCCACCAGTGATGCTTTTGAATTTCATATTTAAGGTTGTATTTCTGACAAGTTCTATGTTACAGTGTTTCGCTCTACTAAAAATAAAGCTGTTTTAAGTGTGTATTATGTGAAATAAAGCTTAGTAAGAAATAATTTCCTTTATTAAATGTAACAGAGGAATCCTGATCGACACCAAATATAACTAATCACTATATGAATTTGAAAGAATAGAGTAATGTTCATGCTCTTATCTTCTTGCAGTCTGTTCCTGTCGGTAAGGCAGTTCACGCTCTGCGGTGTCTGCTGCAGAGCAAACAGCTGAGTCAGTCTGTTGTTTTACCTGTACAGAGCTTGGAAGGAAACAGTGACACAGAGGGAATTGGACCTCTCAGGGTAATATACTGTTTTTGTAATCCAGGAATTAATGTTTGCAAACCTGATAATTGTGAAGGAAGTAATGTTATTGTGTTTTTAAGGTGTCACTTGAACTAATAGCTGAAAGCAAAGACTGTGAAAGAAGCAAAAGCAAGCTGGATTTGAGAGACAGACTGCATTCACAAAGTACACCCAGTCCACAGCGAGAGACCAGCTCCAGATCTCACCATGTTGATACTGGCAGGCAGGAGTTACCAGCTCATTCTTTAGAATACTCCAGACTGAACATTTGGAGTCCTCAGAAACCCTTGAAAGAGCCCTCTCCTCATCCCACCCTCCACACATCTATTCATAAATCAATGCCGCAGGTTGATGAGGACCCTGAAATCCTGCTACAAACAATACTCATGGTGCCAGATGGAAAGAATTTCAGCTGTGGGCCCCTGCAGTCTCCAAATGTGTACTTGAACTGTAAACTCTTTTGGTGTGATGAGACAGCGAGATCTGTTGTCAGCTGGGGTCAGCCAAACCCTACATTCAACTTTGTTCAGGTTAGTCGAGGAAATCAGGTCTTCTGTGTTTAAAAGTTGAAATTCTGCAGTGTAAAATCCTATTGACCTAAAAGATTTCTTTTCCCCTTCCTTTGGTCTTAGGTGACTCCTGTGGCCTTAACAACTAAGTTGTTGGAGCGGATGAAGAATAATGTGATGGTAATCGAGGTGTGGCAGAAAATGGGAAGTTCAAGGCAAGATCAACTCCTGGGCCTTGTTAAATTACCTCTTCACCAGTTCTACATGTCATTTAGGTAAGTCATGGAAATGCAATACATTATAACAATTCACTTTTAAAACATTTATCTGCAGTAGGAGTGAATTGACAAAAACAAAATGTTTCAAATATTTTTAATAACTGTTGAAATTTGAACTGAAATGAATGGCCGATTTTTCAGTCATTTGTTTAGTAGGAAACTTCTCTGCAACATTTAATAATCAGTTGTATGTTTTAGTTTGGTCATTTTTTTTAATGCAAAAATATAGAAAATCACTGGTTCTGACTTCTCAGATGTGAATATTTTTTATGAATTTTAACAAGTGTTTTCTCCAATTTTCTGATAATTTGGTAAAGATAATTATTGTTAGCCCTAGAAATTATAAACTCAGCTGTGATATCTGATTTCAGGGCAGGCAAGAAACTAAGAAACTTTATGGCGATCATTCACCTTCCATTTTTTTTAACCTGCCCACTGGGAGGTGCTATGGCACCTCCCAGTGGGCACCACCTCTTATACAAAATATATTGTAAAATGTCCTCACATGCCATAAACTTCAAGAATTTATAAAATGAAACTCTTGGAGTTTTGTACCACAAATGACACTATCCACACCTTAAACTTACCTGTCCCAGTATGGCTGCATGTGAAATCCATAACTCTCCATGTGATTTATTTTTTTCCCTCCCCTCCAGGGATCCAAAGATCGCCCGCCTTCTTCTCCAGGCGCAGTACCCTGTTTTAGGGGTTGACGGGTACATGCCAGTCACTGATGTTTTCTCAGGAAGTTGTAAAGGAAACCTCAGGGTTGTTTTGGCTATGGGCCGATCAGAGCAGATAGTTTCCCTTCAGAGCACGAGGGATAATGAATATGATCCTTCATCTCATCTCCTGAGGCCAGTTCATCTGCTTGATCACCAGCCACATTCACACACAAAGGTCAGTGGTAATTTTGGCTAGATAATGTGTGCATTATCAGCATCTTCTCAGGCTGTTTATAGAAAAGTGCCTGGAGGCAGTGCTAAAATCAAATACCAGGACCACCCAGGGGGAGGGGGCATGTGCATGCAGAGCAGCTGCCAGCGATTGGTTAAATGTCTGCATCTTCACACCTCAAACATTAGTGTTACAAGCACCATGTGTAAACACAAACAAAAAACAAAGCAGGATAGTCAGTGTCATCCCCAGAGGCTATACTTGGCGATGGTTACAAGAAGTAAGGGGTATACTGCTCGTTAGGTTCCCATAATGGAAATGCAGCATAATTGACAAAATGAACAAATCCCTTTCACCTTCTCTCACCATTGTGCTTCTCCCTCAGGTGGTTGCAGCACATGAGGAAGCTATGAGAGAGCACCTGTTTGTGATCAGAGTGGAGAAGGTCAATGGGCTGACACCTTTGCAGTCCACAGTGTGGGGTGAGGCTGACTGTTACATCCAGTACAGCTTCCCCTGTCAGGAGAGTGACCCTGCTGCGAAAGTGGACCAGAACCTCATAGAGTATAGTAAGGACATTTTATTTTATAGAACCTCACCACAGTTACCTGAGAAAATTTTCTTACCTCATCTCATTTCCAATAGGTGTGAACCTGAAGCTGTTTCGTACCACTACCACCCTCTGTGTGCCTGACCCTGTGTTTGGCCACACTGAGACTCATGTGCTTCTGGCTCCTGAAGGGGTGCCTGTCCAGAGGCTGCTCCTCAGCTCTCTTTCAAGTCAAGGCCTGAGCAGTGGAGGGGGTGTCCAGTTTGAAGTGTGGTGCAGGTTTGTTGTTGTTACCTCCATTTAACAAATGTGGCATGACATAAATTAGAGTTAAAATATTGATTATAACCTTGATATTTACCCCAAAGCTTGCTTTTGTTAGCTACCTTGTGGCTAAATGTGGCTAACTGCTGAATTATGATTCTACATCAAAGCACTGCATGTAAATATGGAGTCTGCTTAGGTTTTTAGGTGATCTAATGGTAGCCAGTCTTGGGTGCAACTGTACAATATAATGCAATGTGTCACCTCATTAATAGACATATAATTGAATTTGCATATTTCTCAGAATGTAAAGATAACTGATCATTAGAAACTTTCTAAAGGTAGAATTTATAGCAGAGCCATAATAACCTAATATAGTGGCCTGTGTGTGTGTGTGTGTGTGTGTGTGTGTGTATCTCTTATAGCTAACTATATGATAGTGCTGGAACGGTTTGTTGACAGAGTGCACAACATGGAGCAGGTTCAAGAAATGGTCTCCTTTTCTGTAACACCATACAAATGGGCTTTGTTTTGTATCTGTGGCATTACTGTTTGATGTAATACTTAAGTGCCAGAATTGTTGGTAGCAATTATTTTAATCTTAGTTTAATGGCTTAAATCTTAACACATTACCTAATGGCTTAGTAAATGCTTCTTTTATTTCAATGATTTGTGTATCCTCAGTAATACACAAATCATATATTTTGTGTTAAATCCTAGTGACGTCTATTAAGTAATGTGTTAAATCTTAACACATTACCTAATGGCTTAGTAAATGCTTTTTTTATTTCAATGATTTGTGTATTTCTGCAGATATTATTATCCAAATGTCAGAGATCAACTTGTGGCCAAAGGACTGCTTCCACTGTCCAAGCTGTGCGCCATGGTCACCATGCAGAGACAACATCCTAATGAGGCCCAAATGTTCTCTCTACCCCTGATTCCCAGGACAGACAGTCCCACAGGACATCCGCCTCAGCCCTCAGGTACACACACAGACACATATAAAGTAATGTTGTTATTAGGGGTGTGACAAGATCTCGTTCCACAAGTTCTCACAATTGTAAACATGACTATATTTATCTTCGAGGTTAGAAGCTGTCTTATGATATCAGTACATTACAGAACCAGAGCAGCAGCCAGCATGATGAAGTGTGAGGGTGAGGTTAGCATAGAGGCTGCCCCTGCCATTTTTTTATGTTCAGTTTGTGGAAAGGAGTTCAGTTAGAAGGTCGCACACAGCTTGACTTAGAAGTTAGAAGCACATGCATAGTTCTAAGATTTGAAGAGACTCGTGAAATCATAAGAGAGAAGCCAGTCAGTTGAGTCTGTGGCAAAACTTTTTACAGTGTTCGCATATTGTTGTCTTTTATTACATATGATAGTTCATACTCAGAAAGTAGAACTGAAGTGACATTCATTACAAGATTAGTTAAAACGTTCCAAAAAACACCTGCATTGTTTTGCATTTTGTGACTTTCACTCAAATAAAATTTTTCCAGTCATAATATTTCATCGTTGAAGATTTCTTAAAATTTGTGTTAAAATATCATCTCATCTCATTCTTGTGACCTCCGTATCATCTTATGTCATGAGCTAAATGTATTGTCATACCCCTAATAGTTGTACTGTCTTGACACATTTACCATCTTTAACATTGTGACTGATCTGTTTGGTTTTTCAGGCCTGCTAGATGTGTGTGTTCGGTACAAGCACAGGCCTGTGAGACCAGAAGGACAGAGCAGCAGAGGAGTTGCCTCTCGTATTGTGACACTCATTGTTCAAGTGCACAGAGCATCAGGTTTGCAGGCAGCAGCAAGGTATATCACTACCACTTTTTCCTTCAAAATGCAAACTCTGCTTTGTCCTGTTATAAGCTGTAAATGTTTGTCTGAAAAGCTGTTGCTTGCATAAGGGGGGAGGATCTGTGGTTGAATGCAGTTCTTGTAAATGAATGTGGGGTATTTATAAGTCTTGAGAATTGAGATCAATAAAAGAAATGACATCAGCTCCACTAATTAGTCTGATTGCAGGTGTTTCAGAAGTGGTGATCTTAAAATTTCACTGCATCAAACTGAAACTATTTACTAATTTCTTCCTTATACATATGTATAGACACCCCCCAGCGCCTTTCATTTTACTTTTGCCCTCATGTGTCTGTTATAGGTTGTTATCAGAACAAGATGAAAGGTTTAGCTACTTTGCCAGTGTTGGAGTGAACACTTACGTCACAGTCCAGCTCTCCTTCTTGCCCAAGAATGAGAAGAGATGCACTCGCATAGTAGCCATGACCTTCTGCCCTGAGTTCAACCACCACATGGAAGTGTCATGTGACCTGCTGGTTCAGAGGAGCAGTGGCGAGACCTGCAGCCTGGCCGAGCAGCTGCAAGACGCTTTTGCTGTCTTTACTGTGTGGAACAGCGATAATCGCAAAGGTTTTAAGAGCATATTATGCCTTATTTAACACAATTATAGATTTAAAAAATGTTGAAAATGGTAACATTTATATGCATAATGTTTTTTTTTTTTGTCAGTAGCAAATAAACATGTCATTATTTTCATCTTTTAATTTTAGCTAGAACAGCTTGAACATTACTATTCTTGTGTATATAACTGTGGCAGTTAATTGTGTAGTTTATTAGAAGAAAATTAAAAAATTTATAATCAACTACTTTGATTATCAATTCACCATCTAAGCAAAAGAGCCAAAATTCCACTGGTCTTAGCATCTCAAATGTGAAATATTTGCAAGTTCTACAAAGAGTATTTGTGAAAGGTTGGTTTAATTTGCATATTTAATCTCTGTGTAGTAATTTATTTTGTTTTCATTTTTATTTTGTTACAGCAGTGGATATTTCCAGGCCTAAAGATGTGATGTTGGGCACAGTAAAAATACCACTAGCTGATCTCATCCATAAAAGAACAGGTATGTTGTACTCTTAGGTACTGCTCGGTCAGGTAGATTTTCTGATAATCACATAGTTATTGTGTTTCATTTTCCAAACATAAAGGAATATCTGGCTGGTTTGGAGTGTATATACCTCAGGAAACAAGTTCTGCTCAGCACCAGCACATCTTGGTCGGGGGCCTCGAGATCTCTGTCAACTTTGCCCACCACTCAGACAGAGAAAGGGTTATTAAAGCTGCTCAGGGTTTGGGCTGGGAACTGGCCCAGAGTGACCTGGTCATGCAGGATGACGAAGAAGCCTGGGAAGAAAGCACTAGAAAACTTTATCTAACTTTTTCAATGCCTAGAGTATGGATACCTGTCCACTGTTTGCTTCTGCCTGGCCACAGTGAGCTTCGGCGCTCCACCTACTGCTACATCCGGTACAAGTTCTTTGACCAAGATGCCTTCTGCTCTCACTTGAAACACCCCTGTGAAGAAGAAGGTGTAGAGAAAGGTCAGGCCACGGTGAGTTTTGAAGGGAGTAGAACCGTGGAGCTAAGGAGCACTCAGCCCTTAATGTGGTATCTACGGGAGGAGCAGCTGGAGGTGCAGGTGTGGGTTGCATTTGCAAAGCACAAAACCAGAAGACCCAGTGACACAGATCGACTGGTGGGCTCAGCCTTTGTTGACCTCTACTCTCTTGCAAAGACACCCAAGCAGAAGCTGACTCTCAGTGGTAAGAAATGGTTGTGTTATAATTAACTGATTTGTTATTGCTTTAGTAAAATTATGGCTGTATTTCTGAGTTTAAGCACAGTTTTGTGATTTCACAGGAGTGTATCCTCTGTTCAGACGCTCTGCAGCAGATCTACAAGGGGCAGCTCTCAGGGTGCATGTCACCCTGACAGCAAGTTCTGACTCCAGGGAAGCATGTAGTGTACTTGACACCCAAATGGACTCTGACAGCCAGGGGGAGCTCTTATCAGAAGAGGAGGAAACAGCAGCTTGTTTGCCTTTGCCCACTACACCCAAACAATCACATACACAAAGCAGACATGTGAATACATTCTCCAGAACCGCTCAAGACATCACATCTGTGCAGCACACTGAAATGACCATGGATGAATCTTTCCCCGTGACAGTTGCAGTGGAACGGGCTATGCATTTGAATCTGAAAGGTGGGCCTATGACCCAAGATTTATTTTATAATTTCTTTAATTTTTAGTTTTTTTACATAAAGTAAAGCACAACTCTCTCTGGCAGGTTGTCCTCTGGCAGAGCGAAGTGAGGGGTCACAAACCAGTTTCCACAGCTGTCATAGCCAATACTGACTGCCCAGTGTGGGACCATCACCATGAGTGCAGGTCAAATTAAATAACACATTAGCTTAAATCTGTGCAGATGTGTAGACACTAAACAATATCAGGCAGATGTATTCTTTCAAATTTACAGGCTTTCAAAGGAGCTGCTGGTTGATCCACAACAATCTCTCGTGTTCAAAGTCTGGCACAAAGGAGGTAAATGACACACTTTATGATGCATAATAATTTAATCTATTAGATACATTTATTTAACTTTATTTGGCTCTTTTACTTCCATAGAAGTAGAGAGGGTGCTTGGATTTTCCTCTGTAGACCTGTCCCCTTTACTCTGTGGGTTCCCTTCAATATGTGGTTGGTACAACATCACAGACTTCAGTGGTCAGTGTCACGGCCAGCTCAAAGTATCCATCACTCCGCTAAAAGGGGTCCAAGACCTTCGAGGACAGAGAAAAACTGTGAATGAAGAAGTTGTCAAAAGCTCATCGGTAAGAGAAAATATTCATACATACTCAAGCTTATTATAGTTTCTCAAAAATGATTTTGTTTGTAAAGATGAATGTGTTTGATTCCAGGCCCTTTCACTTAGCTACCATACCACAGCCACCTACAGCAGCTTCCCCTCTCACATCAGTCGCTACCCTGAGCAGAAGATCTTGTCACCTGACCAAACTGACAGGCTGTTCTCTGAAAGGTTGGTATTCACACATTTTGATTCAGCTATTATTTAAAATGTAACCCCCATATACTGAAATGCTCTTGTACACACAGCCACTGTATTTAATCATCTTTCCACTTGTCCCAGGTCCAATGAGAGTGACCGCCATTTTGAGCACATGGACAAAATCCGTCTTTACCACCAGAGTCTGCAGGAACAAACAGCCACCCAGTCTGCCTGTTGCAGCTGTGCTGGTGACATCAATCCCTCCAGCTCATTCCTATTCTCAGCACTCAGGTATCAGACCTTAGGTATATAGTCCCCCATCATTACCTTGTAGAATCTATGCTTTGATTTCAGCTCTTTCTTTTTACAGGAGGAAACTAAGCGAGCTCGACAACATCCAGAGATACTTCAGTCGTAAACTCTTCACTCCCATGTTCCCACCTATGACAGAGCAGGATTGTCACACCAACCACGAGGAGCAGAAGCCGTCAGAAATGGACACAAGTCACCTTCTTCTCAAATCCAGCCAGTTAGTAGGAGGAGTCAACAGTATCATTAGTGGTGAGTTCCTCTCCGAAGCTTAGTGCATGTTACTTGTGATAAGGTTTGAAATTTTCATGCACCAACTACAATAGTCAGCTAAAATGTTTCTCTAGTGGATACAGCATTTCATCCATCCATCCATCCATCCATTTTCTTCCGCTTATCCGGAACTGGGTCGCGGGCCGCGACCCGGTTACAGCATTTCAGTGGAAATATAAACTCAAAGTGCACACACAAACACAGCAGCAGCTACCACATACATATACTAACAACCAGACATCATTAACACTAGGTAGGCTTGATACATCAAAAATGGGCATTGATCACACTGCCATTTAAAGATCGTCTTTGGCAAGTAAACTTTGTCCTAGTTACCCAATTTGGGCAGTTGTCCCAGAGTTCACTGTGGGCACAGTCTACCGGGGTAATTTGCAGATTTCTTGAGTCCTCTGAACTAGGGATGCTCAATGATAAATAATTTTTTTTTTTAAATTATGCAATGCAACTATGGTTTTGTCTTTAAAAACCAAGAGCCACTGTTTTCCCTTGCTTTTATCTGTGCCTGGAGCTAACACAGTAATGAGGTCAATATATCATTTTACCACATTTGAAAAGCTGAACATTTTTGTTGCAATTTTTGTTAAAAAAATGACATAAAATAATTGATTGACAATACCTTCTGATTAATTTTACTAAAAAGTAACCAACTTAATTGTTGCAGTTGTACAGTACTTGTTTACAAATTGTTGTCATTTGATAATATTTTTAAGCTGTGAGCAAATTACAACCACCACTGTCAAGTTGTGTTTAGGATAGGAAGAACTTGTTCTTAAAAGTATGACCTTGAATGCTGGACAACAACACTTAACGATATCTGACAAAGAAAGATAATTTAATAAAAGCATAAGTCCGATCCTCTCAGGAGCAGTGTTACTAAAATCTTCACTGTCCTGTTCACACAGGCCTACGAGAACACCAATTGGAAACAATTACGTCTGACCCCCAGAGCAGATCAACAACACCTTCTGCTGAAGACTACAACCCTCAAACTATCCCTCAGAGTATCACCATTCCAGGCAGAGCTTCAGATTTTTCCAAAAATGATTTGTCTCCTCTGCCCTCTCCGCTTCCAAAGATGTCAGACAGCCATAGAGAGTATGAGCCTGAGTCTGAAAAGGACAAACAAAACTACAAGGTTACTGTGTCTGAGGATGAAAATGAAGGAGAAAATGAAGATGGGTCAGGTTGCAGACAGGATGAGGAAGATGATGATGATGAAGAGGAAGATGCTGATTATGAGGAGGTTGTAGTGAAGCCGCGGCATCTGAATGAGGTGACTTCTTTAACAGACCAAACTAGTCCTTGGACCAGTGTCCTGTCAGACCCTGACCTGGTTTCTTTGGAGAGCCTGGAGGCGTCAGAAGAGCAGGACTTCAGCCAAGACGAAGACGAGCAGAGGCAGGTGGTAAATCTGGAAACTGGTGACTCTAGTGGGAAACACAAATGTGCTAGACAAGAGGAAAGGGAGAGTTTTATCGGATCACCAGGAGATGCTTCACACACAGAAAGTGATGATGAAAGGACACTGCAAGCTTTAGATGAGAGACAAGCAAAGGAATCCAGCAGCTCCAACAAGGGGTCAAGCGACGCAGGTCCATCTCCCACCATGCAGTGTGTTACAGACACCCATGATGCTTCTTGTTCTCAGGACAACCAAAATTCACAGTTCCAACCATATCCTTTTTCTATATTTGTTGTTGGGTGACAGTTTTTGCAGTTCTTATTGGCTTTAGAAAACAAAGCTTCCCAACAAAACTAGTTTGTTTAGGCTGGTTGTCAGACTAGACACGTCCCTCCCTGTTTTCTAAGCACATAAAGGGCGTAAACCTTTTCACAGTACTGTAGTGTGAAACTGTACGGAGTAAAGTTGTGTTCAGACAGAAAATCTGTTGTTTTTAGATGTGGTGTGATAGTATATAAAGTTCATGGAAAAATTCATAATGCTCTCCTCATATTATTATTATTTTTAACATTCTACATTAAGCTCAGTTCCTGTGGAGGTCCCCAATTTCTTCCTTCCCTCTCAGCAACTGGAGGCATCTATGAGAGCCATACGTTTAGCTCCTTCTTTCTCCAAGTTATTCAATGATCAGGTGAGTATTTGTCTCTAGAACCTGATTGGAGTCCACCTGTGGCAGATACCTGCATTCATGTCATATTGTTTAATTATGAGTCGGGAATTTATGATACCAACATTCTCCCCCATTTGTTGAAAAGAACTACAGACATATCAACAAACTGTGGGCAGAATACCTTCAAGTGCACCACCGCAGGCAATTACATAAGAAATGTACATACTGATGTATTAACACTAATACAGCTGATTTGGCTCATTTCACAGGAGCTATACACTATACACTGCCTGCTTGTATCCGATTAGGGACTCAATTTTGTTTTATGCAGTTCATTGATTGATTTCCAGCAGTTCAGTTATGTGACATATGCAGTATGTAAGCGCTGCGGTTTGAGGTGGGAGGTTCTAAGTAAAAACCAGTTTGAGCTAGTTATTTGTTGTTGATGTTTTGATTGTGCATGTACATATCCCCATGCAAGGGGCAAGTAAACAGTAAACCAACATAAGGCTGTGTAATATAACAAAATAAGCAGTATTAACAAGCATCAAACAGTGCAAACAATGCAAAATAAGCAGTATAAACAATGCAGACAAAGGAATGCTCATTGTGAAACGAGATAAATAGGAATAAAAATAGAGCACTTAAAAATAGAGACCTGTACAGAGAGATACATGACAAGCAAACCTGTAGCAGCTTGTGGTGAATGTGTAAATTTACATTTGCAAGAAAAAGGAATGCCACTGTTTGCAGTTTCCTGGTTTTCTGTATAAATTGGTCATGATCTGATCTGATCAGTGATCTGATCTTCACCAATGTCACAAATATCACCAAACACAGTATTTCTAAGCTGATAACACACAAACAGTCATGATCTTTCATGTCTTTATTGAACACACCCATTAAACATACAAAGTGATGGTGTAAAGAGCACTGTCAACACCAGGCTTCGATTGTCACTAACCATCAACTGGAGTCCAGTGTTAGCAAACCTGGAGTCCATCAGTGACACGACATTGGAGGTGTTGTTTAGAGCTACCTTAACTTGTAAAAACACTCAAACAGTGTCATCGTGCTGTTTACAAGCAGAATTGGCTGATGTGAACCATTCCTCACAAAAAAAAAGAGATCTCAGAAGGCTTACGATCAAGAGTTGTTGATTTGCTTGTAGCTGGAAAGGATTACAGAGTCATCTCCAAGACTTTAGACATTCATCAGTCCACAGTTAGACATACTGTACTGTCTATAAATGGAGACCATTTGGTTCTGCGTCTACTCTCCATAGAAGTGGGCGCCCAGCCAAGGTCACGCCAAATGCAGAATGCTCAATGAGTTAAAAAGGACCCTAGAGTAACAGCTAAAGACTTGAAGGATTCATTGGAGTTGGTTAACATCTCTGTTCATGAGTCAACCATTTGCAAATATTGAGCTGGCCTAGTATCCATGGCAAGACACCACAGAAGAAGCCATTGCTCTCCAAAAACATCACTGTAGCATGCCTGAAGTTTGCTAAAGACCACCCTGACACTCCACAACACTGCTGGGAAAATGTCTTGTGGACAGATGAAACAAAGTAAGAATTGTTTGGGAAGAACACACAGCACTATGTATGGCGTCAAAAGAGACATGAACACATCATCCCAACAGGGAAGTACAGTGGAGGGAGCATCATGATTTGGGGCTGCTTTGCTGTGTTTTATCAGCTTAGAAATATTGTTTGTTGAAGTTTGTGACTTTGATGAAGATCAGATCACATTTATGATGCAGAAAACTACAAACAGTACCGCTATTTGCGACTATACCCATTAAGATGAACTACCTAAAGTTACTGTATGTGAGTGGTGACTCGTGCGTTATTTAGCTTTGATTGATCAGTGTACTTGTTTGTTCTGTGTCATGCCTGATAAGTACGGAATACAAGTATACTGTACCTTTATTTGTTTATTTCAATTTCTGTGTATTAAGTACAATAAAAATTGCATTTTGTGTTGCTACAGCCCTTAGTATGTAGTAGTACTTCTGTCTTGATCTTTCCAGAGCTCTCAAACTCAGAGCTTTCCTCATTGCAGAGGTGTTCGACAACGTCCCAACATGTCACCATCATCTATGAAGAGAGAGACTGACAGAATAGCCAAAATATTTGCAGCTCACTTTGATGACAGTCATTAGTATGTAGTGGTTTTGTTTAAGTATTTATGATCATATTTTTACTGCCCAGTGGTTTCAAACAATGAAAGGATCATGTAAATTTAATGTAACATTTTCTATATTTATAAATAAATTTTTACTATTTTCAGCACTGGAAGCCTTTTTGTATTTTGTTGATTGTTTATGATGCTAGAGCCTGCTCCTTGAAACACACCTCAGATTGCACTGAAATTCATGGCACTTTGTGTTTCCAACTCGTGTCTATAGTTTGTGTTGTGCTGGTCTGCTGTTCAAAGCACCAGATGGACAGTACTGTAGTCTTCAAGCCCAAACTGAAGACTGCAACTGTCACTGTCATCATGGCTATTTCTGAGTTGACAAGGCTCAAATGATTCTCATCATGACAAGTAAACTAATGTTTATGTGTAAAATCAGTGGGTTTTCCCTTTAAAAACACAAAAACAGCGGGGAATGTTCAAATCAAGGCACTTTATTCAAAGAAAAGTAAGTGTCAGTTTATTTTTATTTGTACAGTAGCAGAGTTGAGCCAACACTAAGCAGGACCAGTTGTTCAACAAGAGCCTTGAACAATAGACTACAGCACAGTAAATGGTCAAGACAAAGACCTGCCATTAGGGATTTGTGAATGTCTCAGTGGTTGTGCTGTGCCTTTAAAATCAGATTAATTGT